TGTGCTAAATATTGCGCTGAAGGGGGATGTTGTCCAGATAGACGACGAAAGCTTTGCAACTAAACCAACCAGCTCAGAGAACACTATTAATTGAAATAAAACTGTTTGATAAATTTAACTGAAATGACAGACATGCATTTTAAGCGTTTAAACTCATAGTCTTAAGCGTGCTACCAATATCAGAATTTTTAGGAATGCTTACAGATAATTCATGGCCTATATCACTCAATAAGCTTCTCATAGCTGGTCAAGGTTGTGTATTTGTCTTTTTGTCATTCTGTGATTAAATTGATTTTCTTCATGATTTTTTGAGCATTGTGTTTACTGTTGATAAATCACACTGCCAGTTAGTACAAGAATAATGATCTCATGTGTATACATAATATGCCTGTGATCAAATTTGTGTGTTTTATTTTATCAAGTTGTTATCATGTATGGATGGTTTAAACGATTATTATTAAAATTATTATTTCCTTGCGTCTCAGGTGCAACATAGAGCTTCAGTTGAATATCCCTCTTGTACTCACTTCTTCGTCAACACTTTCCAATGGCTGCATAACTGCCCACTAGCTTTCATTTCCTCTTCATATGTCACCCTTCGACGTCCAATTTGTCACTTCCTATTCGGGTTCTAGCCGAGGACTTGATTGGCGTATGATGTCACTTGAACGTCTCCTTAATCTTGCTGGCATAATTCTGAAGGAGGATCTTCGGTGGCTTTGGTGACATGTGCTCTTGTTTGACATCAAAGTAACTGGTGTAGACTACTGGCTATCTAATCAAAATTTTGATGGGTCCTACTCCATTCTACCTGCTCTCACAGATTTTTAACACTGCCATACAATATCTTCTCATTTTCGCTACAATTTGAGCTGCTTTGACGTCCTGAAACGTTGAGCAAACGTATCCCTATGCTTACGTTTGCTTTCATTGAAAGAAGATACATCAATCAACTGACATCCCGATAGTTTTCAGTAGCCCACTTCATTTATCCTACACGATTCCAGGGGAGAAAAAGTGTATTTTCTTCTGTACAATAATCTATTATATTGGTGATTAAAGTAGATATGGAAACCTATATCTTAAGAGACAATAGGCATACGTCACTATTGCGAAAAATGTGAAAGGAAGGAAAGATACCCACCTACTGATTGGAAGAAAGGCTATCATGTCAAACTAACAAAGAAGTTGAACTTAAGCCTCTTGTCCACACCAAGTAAAATATTAGATCACATCATCATGCAGAGCATAAACGATACACTGGATACAGAACATCGCTCCCAACAAAACAAGCTCGATTTAGGAAAGGCAAATCATGTGCTGATCAGATTTCAACTCTACGCATCATCATCAAACAGAGTATAGAATGACAGTCAAACCTCTAAATCAACTTCATCGAATTGGAATAGGCATTGGACAGCATTGACCACAAAGTAATCTGCAAACTATTTCAACACTACACAATACACTGACCCAAATCTTTATCAACCTCATTCAACCAGAGCTATATGATAAAGACACGTGTCACGTGATCCACAACGCAAAACTCAGCAAAGCCTTCGAAGCGAAGACAGAAGTGAGACAAGGCTGGCTGGATCACTGCCTGTCTGCCTACCTACCTACCTACCATCACTGATGATATTCCCAAGTGTGGTGAACTGGATTATGTGGAAGATGCTGTGTGGAGAGAGAGATGACAGGAATACGTTGTAGCAATGAGAAGACTCGATCTGGATTTCACGTGTGGATGATTCAAATTCAATATCACATAAATTCGAAGACTCACAATCAAAAAGAAACAAGTTGTAAGGAAAGGGAGGCAGGCAGACAGGGAATACAGGACTCCACGTGAACATGGGGAAGACGGAAGTTATGAAGACAGCCAACCAACAGAAACAACAAACAGCACCAATTAATATCGATGGGAGAAATTCGAAAGAGGTCACTCCCTTCATTCACTTATCTAGGAAGCATTGTTTCAACCACAGGGGAGCAGATGAAGATGTCAAAACCAGACAGAATCTTAAAGGTGCGATCCACATTCAGCAATCTGAAATCGGTTTGGATGTCTTCTGCACTCCACAGCATAAACAACAAAATTCAGATTTCCAGTACCAATATTAAGTCAGTTTTTCTGTATGGGTGACGCGACACCGAAAGCATTCCCAACAGGCTACTGCATACTTTCATCAGCATCTGCCTTCACTGGCTCCGTACTAAACATCGAATGATAGGTAAGCCACGAAGTATTTGCGCTAAAGGACTCTGGGAACGAACCAACCAAGAACCTGTTGCCTAACAGAGGGTGGAAGTAAATGGAGATGAATCGGGAGTACACTTATGAGAAGACCATTGTTTGACATCGCGCACCCGGTTCACGCTAGATTGGCACCCGAAAGAGGAACTACCAGTTGGGCGTCCAAGGGTGACATGGAGGAGATGAGAGACTATGGGTAGCCATGGAGCCAGTTACACCAGACTGTGGAGAATAGGAGAACATGGAGATATGCTGTTGAAGCCCTATGTGCACTCGAAACCCAATGGAATAATATCGTAAAAAGATTCACAAAAGAAGTCCCAAGTTACCTGCTTAATTTTTAATCTAGTCACTAAGTGAGTCTTGTACTTCAGTCCGCAAACTGTCCATAAGTATTAAGTTCACATTAGGTTATTGGTCGATTAATGGATTGAAATTCAGTGAGTTGCTATTTAACTTTCTATCATCAGTTCACAATATACTTAATGTCAGGTCATCTTCGACAAAAGGCTTACAGGCTTACCGACATATGACATTAATTATCAATAAATTTATTTGATTATAAGTGCAATAAAAATCATAAAATGCTACAATAACAGCTGACATTTACTCCATTATGAATATCCAGTGGCTAACTTTTAATCTGCAAAATAAACGACAACATATATATCTCAGTTAAGAATCATTAAAATCCACATCTTCAGTACATGTGGTATTTTAGAAGAATTAGAGATGCAATATATATATATATATATATATATATATATATATATATATATATATATATATATATTAACAAATTAAATTCCTCATTTGTAAACTAAACAGTTCAAGATGAGAGTTCAATACCGTCTGATTTGGAAACCTAAAATATTTAGATCACAATATATGAATTGGCTCATACTGTGGCGTGTTCTACTAATAAGATTTATCAGTAGTGTATAAAGAGGTGTTCACCGATATAAAAGGGTCAAATAGCACAGAGATAGATTCTATGTCAGGGAAAGCAAATGTTATGGCGTTGCGGAGATACATGAGTGACATGAAAGGAAGATAAAGAAACACAATATGAAAGCCACGAGTAGCAGGCAGAACACGGAAGATGTGTGTAAATGGTGCATCGCAGATAAGGGGTACATAATTCGGATCCTAATCTTTCACTATCGTTTTTGGTACACCGTGGTCTGCGACGATGTATCAGACTACTGCGTCATTCATGGTTCTCGAGAGTTGATTAGGGACCATGACGGCATTGTGTAGCGTATTCCGTCATCACCAAGAGGCAATGATTGCTACTGGACATCGGCAGAAAGGGACCTACGACATCTACGCACCACAAGTTACCTAGTGCCGTAACTGGAATTGACTGCAGAGGCGGTCGTATGTACTGATCTCCTTTGGTCAATTGGCACTGCGGACATCCAGGTATATATTTTGCTACATCTCTTTCTTTATAGACAGTGCCTCCTCGAGTGTCCTGCTTTGCCATATTCAAAGCATCAGTCTTTCTTTGCATTCATTCGTAGTGCGGCTACTTCACGCAACAAATCTTCAAATTTCTTGATATAAGTATAATACTTGGGCACTGTGGTAGAGCAAAACTCCATTATGGATAAGATTTTATTTTGATAAATCACACAGTATTGTACAGTAATATTTACTGATGACGTTTCGAGCACAAACTATTACTCATAATCATATAAAGTTGTGATTTATCAAAATAAAATCTCCAACTTTCTGTTCCCCACTCGTCCATTTTCGGTGGCTACCATTCTGGTCAACAGCTGTCTGGTCACCTTCGTTAGCTCACCAATTTCCATGGATTGTGCAGCGTTAACCAGTTGTAGTTGATGAGAAATGTGTTCTGAGACACTCTCGATGATCTGGGCCCCCAACAGATGCAACCTTGACTCTCTGTTCAAAGTTAGGAGTGTGCGACATATTAAATTTGTCAGCTTCAATGCCAACACTAGCTGGTGTCTGTCCGGTGCCAGATTTGCGGCAGGGAACTGCTGCATCGTCAGCTGCCTGTCCGCCAGGCTGTCAAACTCTGCCAACAAAATGACGAACTGACTCGAGTGAGAGAATCATTTAAAAGACCAGGGAGTACTGGAGAGCTATTTCACCCTGATTCAAGACTCTTTATCAGCAGTACCCACCCATCAACCAACCAACCAACCAGGGATCGAATCCAGAACCTCCAGATTACAAGGCGACCTTGTGCACTATTTTTGAGCCACTGGGACGGGATCCAACGGTATGGAAGAAATCAGAGTTTGTCTTTTCTAATATAATATCAAAGACACATACAAAGAAAATAATAATAATAGTAATAATCCAACCACAGTGATTTTCTATTCAAATCATAAATAATAAACAAAAGACTATACCAAAAAAGGGATCAACTAAAATTCAGATCATACAATAAGACGATTGTCATTTATACCGATGTAGTGAATATACGGATATCTCCAAGTCTGGTAGATTATTCCAAATAAACACTGAAATGACAGTGTATGGAGTTATACATATATAGAGTAAGAACATCGTGTGTAGTTTAAATATATTGGGAACCTCCAACTGAAGACAAGAGCATACAAGCACACACCTACGCACACTCGACCGTGGTGAGAGCTGTCTGCAAGCCAAAATTGTAGACAAAAATTTACGTCATTGTTCACATCCCCAATCAGGCTCATGAGAAAAACAATAACAAGGGCTAACCTTGAAAAAATCACCAGCCAATCACAGCAGACTTAACGTGTGGAAATATGATTCGCAGATATATCTATCGATTTTCTGAGAAACAGCCACAAAGAGATAATAGAATAACCTTCAGCAAGAAAACAACCAATCCGAACAGGTTGCTTCTTCGCTAACAATAATGTACATAAAAATCTATAAATACCACTTGATTTTCTCAGTAAACAATCTGTTGTCTGGGCCTTGTCTTCTGTCATTGCACTGCTACAACAACAACAATACACAAGAAGATTAATCCAAATAAATTATTTTATATGACAGATGACATTTAAGCAGAGAGAAAACTATTTGGTGAAGAGAGAGTCATCACATACGCCAACAGGAAGGAACGTACACACACCACTACAGTCTATTTATATACGAGAATGAAAGAGATCAAACACATTTACAACAATGCCAATAACGACAACAACAACAACAATAATGGTGAGGAATATAAGTTGATTCGGCAAGTTATATAATATGTTCAGGCATTATATATGAAGCCTACATAATATACACATATGTGAAAATCACTTAAAGATCATTAGAAATCAGAGCGCGAAAAAAAAGGATTTTTAAAACTATTATAAAAAGGAGGAATGAAAAAAAACACAAGAGTAGAGGAAGAAGAAGAAGAGAAGTTATCGTTTTCACAGATAACCAACAATATATTTCTTATGGACAATTCTATTAAGGAATGTAAAGGTATGTTGCAAAGGCAGATAGGAATAGTTGAGTAGACTTAGAGTAATCAGCGATAATGATGATGATGACGGCAATGAGGAGATGAAGGAATAACAATTAAAGCACAGCAATGGTCTCTACAAATAATACTAAATACTTTTGGATCATGAATTTATAACGAAAAGCAATGATAAGTAGAAGAATAGGATAATTAATCAATGTTTTTTCTTGGGCTAGGCGACGGGGAAGCGGAGAAGGCGGAAGGAATGCAGTATCATGATTTATTTGCACAGTATGTGGCACTTCCTTTCCTCTCTCTTATTTATCATCTTTTTTTTATTGTAATCACAACTGGAATCTGATTTTTGTTTTTTTTTTGCTCTATAAAGAAATTTATTGTTCTTTTAGAAAATAATCAGAATAGAAAACAAAACAAAATATTAGCTGAATTTTCTTCGAGATTTATCCATACTGATAAATTTTTTCTTCTTCTTCTTCTTCAATATCTTGGATAACCTAAAAGACGTTCAGCAACACCGAGATAGTAAACTGTCTGTGCTATTCCGAATAATGGAGCCATAACCATAACACGACAACCAGCACCTTTGAACAATGCATGTACACCTTCATTACGCAGTGTTTGTCTGAAAAGAACAAAACAAAAACACACAAGAGTGTAGGAAGAAGGAAGGGTTGCAGTTCCACTCTTAGAGTTGTGGTGAGAGATGGTTGCTAGCCAAATTGGTTGACAGTAATTGAGGTCAAAGGTCAAGATGGACAGGCGGATACAGTTAACATATAGATTAACTGACACAGCCACAAAGAGATGCAAGGTTAACTTTGTGTGAGAAACAACCAATCAACGGACTGTATTTTCTACTAACATTAACCTACAATAATGTTCATCAAAATCTATAAATATGTGTTGATTTTCCATAATAAACGTTCTGTTGCCTGGCCCTTGTCTTCTGTTGTTACAGAGTGAAAAAAAAAAGAAATACGTTACAAATACTCGCTGAAGGATGAAGTTGGTTGGTGGTCACCATAAATATATACACACTTAGCAAATCTACAGAAGTCAGATGTCATTGGCCGTTTGGATTCCATTCCTCACAGTGGCTTGAATGCGCACAATACGCTCGTCTTGTAACCTCGATGCCAAGTGGAATATTGGCTCCTAAACTAGGACTAGTGTCTACACAATGGATTCCCTACCTGACATTGATCCCCCATTCGAACTTGAAACCAATCCAATCTCCACAACGTAACACTTAACAAATTTAAAAAAACAAAAACTAAACAAGGGATCCTACAGTTCAACAAATGGCATGATAACACTATTTTAGCCATCCATTTGTATCAATTAGCACTAAAATATGATCACTAGACAATTTGATGCCACATTCTTTTGTGTAGTATTAAAAGAATCCAAGCATTATTATCATCAAGAAAGTTTATATATGTATTTCATTGAAATGACTTGAAGGACTTTTAGTCCGGTAAAAATCTATTCAGTTTGTGATTGAGTGATGACAGTTCACATATCAAAGGTAAAGTCACCAGTAAGCAAACGTAACAAAAATTTGCACACTGAATTTAAGGTAACACGAATGAGTGCTTGTCCACCCCGAGACCACACCTTTGAGTCTTTACGGCTATCGGTTTTGTTTTTATCCAGTATCTCCGTTGCATAATTCATAGTTCCTAACACAAGACTTCACAACAGAAGTTCAGTGGATCTTAGATTTCAAGCAAGCATGTTCTCCTAAGATAACTCGTTAAGACAAGCAGACTTTAAACGCAATAACTATCAACATAATTTCATGCATGTTAAGAGGTTTAACCATCCAAAACTTGATATAAGAATAAAACTTGGGCACTGTGGTAGAGTGTAATTCCATTATGGGTAAATTTTATTTTGACAGAGTCTCACAGTGTTATACAGTAATATTTACTGGTGACGTCTCGAGTACAATTTATTGCTCATAATCATATCAAGGTAATCACACGACTTTCTAAATTCATTTATATAGTTCCATTGTTTTTCACTTGATTTGATTGGTAGTATTATTTTCCATATTTCAGGTATGAGTGATGATTCATTCCTATTGCATGTGTTGGGTGTAGATTCGATGAACAAAGATTCAGTAATCAACCTCTCTCTCCACCTACCTAGATTACTTTTTAGAATTTTAACCCTATTGTGTGGTTGTGTATTAATGCATGCATTGCAATTGCCGAGCTTTTTTCTAAATTACTTATCTTCTCGGGGTTGGTTGACCCCTTTGTTCATCGAATCTACACCCAACACATGCAATAGGAATGAATCATCACTCATACCCGAAATATGGAAAATATTACTACCAATCAAATCAAGTGAAAAACAATGGAACTATATAAATGAATTTAGAAAGTCGTGTGATTACCTTGATATGATTATGAGCAATAAATTGTGCTCGAAAGGTCATCAGTAAATATTACTGTATAACACTGTGAGGCATCCAAAACTTGGTACAACATAACTGTAACCCACGCATGCAGGCAATATTATGAAGTCCTCTCACAGATCTACATGCAGTGTTCACGCTTTACAGTCATACAGTTTTGCAATATACTCAACGCTTATTGGTCAAACGAAAATTTTACAGGTCCTGCAGATGACATATTTCGACAGGTTATATGTATCAGGAATGCGTCATCGTTGGTTCAGGGGTAGAATGCTTGCCAGTCACGTACATAATTCAGATATGATCCCCGACCGACACTTTCTTAAGACTAGCCTAGCTGGTGGTAGTTAGGGCGGAAAACTGGGTAAGGTTGGGGCATCTGCCCCGCCCCCTCACCCGTAGAACCAACACAAGCGCCAATGAAGATTCAAATCTAACAGCTTGAAGCAAATGACTCGAAGACGAAAGGAACATCCATCCACAGTAAGATAACATTAGTCAACAAAAAAGGTGACGCTTGATATCCTTAGTTAGTAGGCTGAAATGATTGGCAGTAGGAAGTTTAGACGGCAGACTAATCTTCCAGTAATATGTAATATAGCGTTAAAAAATACAAGTACAGTAACGACTGAGAACTATAACATATGAATTATGTACAAGACTATATATATATATATATTTTTTTTTTCTGTTTGTCAGTTACGCTGGTGTAGACGACAGGATACATATACGGATATCATCTGTTAAAAAATCCTAGAGATTTTGAAATAAATAGATATGAAGTTTCATGTATTTAAAGAGGAGTATATCTGCTTAGTATTGTAGACTCAATGTAGTGTCATTTACAAGTCTTAGAGACTGTCCAGCTGATTAAAGATGACATCAGCGGTGTAGTGTACATGATTAGGCAACGGAATCTTTCGGCTGGTATTTGTTGTTATACGTTTTCTCTCACATTAGAGTTTGATATCTGGTTACCGATAAAGGTGAGAATATGTGCTGAGTAACAGCTTTCTATGATATAATTAACAGCGATGATGAGGATGATGATGATGCGTAGAGTTGTAATTCGCTCCGCACATTATTTGCTTTTCCTCAATCCAACTTGTTCCACACCGAGTTCTGCATCTAGTGCATTGTTGATCTCTACAAAATAATATTATTTTGCTTGACATGGACACCATTAACAAACACAACATTGAATGGCAGTCAACCCCTTTAAATTGACATCGAATTGGAATAGGCCTTCGACAGCGTTGACCACAAAGTAATTTGCACACTATATCAACACTACGCAGTACATTGATCCAAATCTTTATCAACCTCATTCAACCAGAGCTATATGACAACGGCACGTAATCGGCATCAACAACAAAATCCGGATTTTCAACACCAATTTCAAGTCAGTCACTTCTTCTATATGAATCAGAAACTTGACCAGTGCGTCACGGAAAGCATTTTCAACAGGTTAATACAGACTTTTATCAACAGCTGACACCTGAGCTGCCTCCATACTGAAGATTAGATAGTGGGTCAGAAAGAATTAGCGACAAGAAACCCTGAGAGCAAACCAATCAAAAAGCTATCGCTCAATATATACATGTAGAAGTGAATGAAGATGGATCTGGTACACACTAAGCAGACTGTTGAGTAACATCACGCGCCAGGCAAGCCATCAAGTGGAACCCGACTGGGAAACGACGAGTTAGGCATTCGAGGATGACATGGCGGAGATAAGAACTTTTGGACAGTCATGCGTCCAGCTGAGAAAAGGACTGCAAAAAACAGGACAAATTGGTGTAGTGCTGTTAAAGCCCTATGTTCCACTCAGAATCCAAGGGAACAGCAATATAATAATATTAATAATAACAATGATAAACCGGTGGCCATTGAAGGTAAGATAGAAAAAGACTACCAAATATTTATTATAGGCAGCTTCGCTTCTTTCCATGTGAGTAGTGACGTGAAGAAAGTTATACTGCAGTTAGATGTAATGCCATAGTTTAAATCCATACACAATTGCAAATAATCACAGATTATGAAATAATAGAGAGATTTATAGCTTAGGTGGGTGATTATAATGTGATTGTGTTCTTCGAGCTGGATGATGGTCAATAAAACTAACCAATACTGATACAAATTGATAATCTAATGTACAATGTCAGATACAGATACAATTATATTATCATTCATGAAGGTCACTTCATATTGAAGCCGGTGCTACACATACTGTCTAGAAAGACAATGAAAGTCTGGCGATTAAACCATCCTGCTCAGAGAAAAGAATCACAACAAAATCACCGACTAAAGCGTTTGCAGCATGTCATATGTATTGTGAGCTATCAACCTTCCTAAAGTGACAACCAGTAGTAGATGAGCTACATTGAAGGTCAACTATAATAATACACCTGGACACCTTCACTTTGAAGGACTATCATTCTTACATAAGGAAATAGCTCGAGCGGCATAGCTTATTTTAATTCCTTTGTGTTTCTAGTGGAACATAGGACTTTATTAAATAAAGTATAATTATATTTCAATAGTTTACACACAATGATAAGTTTTGTTATTGGTAATATGTGCATCGGTGGTATAGCGGTTAGGACGCTCGCCGACCATGCACATGGTCCGGGGTTCGATTCCCGGCCGAACTGGTACGAGCACAATGTGCATTAACCTTAAAAAAGCAAAAGGCAGAAAAACTGAATGTAACGAAGGAGGAACTAAAAGCACTCCAAGACATAAAAGCAGACAAATCCATTGTCATTACGCAAGCAGACAAAGGAAACACAACAGTAATACTTAACAAAACGACATATAATAAAAAGATGAATGAACATCTACAATCTGGACCCTATACCCTAATGACGAAGTCAGCTGAAACAATCACAAACAAAACAATGAAAGAAACCGCAAAGGTAGTCAGACAAATGAAAGAAGTAATTGGTAAGTCAAAACAGTTTGAAATTATGCCAAAATCATGCAATATACCTAGAATATATGGCAAGATAAAATTGCATAAAGAGGGATATCCAATAAGGCCGATTGTAGATTTAGAAACACACCGACGTATATGTTATCAAGATTTCTCTCGACAATACTAAGACCAACAAGAGAAAACTCAAAAGCTAGAATAGTAGATTCATTTGAACTAGTGAAGTGACTGAAAATCACTAAAATAAAGGAAGATGAAATAC